AACTCAAAGTGATCCATAAACTGTTATGCTTCTGACTTTCCAGCTACTGATTTTTTTTTTTTCAAAACACATAAGCCCCATGTTCTAAAGCTCTCTTTGCAAATGGAGGTAATCTCAAGACATGGCTCTGCAGACACTTATGGTTACTTGTGGTTTCAGGCAAACCCAGTCTCACTGATGCCTAAACAATATGAAAGAATAATTTAAAATCTGCTTCCTGCCACATAGATTATGGCACGAAATATAAAATCTACCCTATATAACTGCACACCACCAAGGACTCCTGAGAAATCTCTCTACATCAGAAATTCCCTTCTTCCTCTGGAACTGGACTGAATCACACCATGGTAGCTAGTGGTAGCAGAAAGTTAAAAGCATTCCATTCATGTATTGCTAAAGGCTGATCCACATCACCTCTTTCTACAAGTTCCTAAACTATTTGTAATATTTATAACTCAAACCTGAAAGTGGAATGCAATATTCAGAACTTCTAGAAACTAGATCTTCACTTTTCCAATTCATTTTCCCACCATGCACCACAAAAGCAATGCTTATGTCTGTTCACTGGACTAGCATCATATCCTTACATCCCAAGGCTGGGAAGCCTTCCCTTCCCCAGGAAATTACACACAGGGAGGCTCCAAAGAGAAGGGCTACTGCCCAGGTCACCACATGAACCATCAGAACCACAGTCTAATAAATGGTCCATCCAAGCCCCAGCAGAAATGACAATGCAGCAGACCTGCTATGAATAACCCATACTCACCATGACATGGCTTGCGGTCTTCCTTACAACTCCCTACAGCAGAAGTTGAAAAGTATCCTGGAAAGAACCTGCTAGCTAGTTATTGCTATTGATATGCCTTGCAAAAGTCCCTCACTAGCTAGGGTCACCCAGCTATTAGTAGATCCCCTACTGGATGATCAGCGATCAAATTACTCAGACTATGTGGTCCTCCCAAGCTCTGCCCTTCCAGCTCAATAGACAGGGCCCTAGTCTGGAAAGATGTATTTTAGTAGACATTCTTCCACTCTCCCACAGCACTTTCTGTTCCTCATCCAAGGCACAGGGTCCTTTGTATGCCCATTCCATTACACATTCAGCTTCCAGTGTAGCCAACCCTTTGCTTCTTAGCTGGGAAGTCCTGCAGCCAAACACAGGTCACAGTAAACAGTGACTGTTGTTAAAGTATAAAAGACATCATGAATTAGAAAATAATGAGGAGTCATAGTAGGGCATGGAGTCAAGAAAAAGACTTTGGATACGATGTCCTTATTTTGAAAGGTAAAACTGGCTTTAGGACCAAGTACTCCAGAGACTAGGGATTAGTATAAGAGCACATCAAGGATTACTCACACCTTTTATCTCAGACTGTACATAATAAATCTGAAAAATAACAGGCCTGTTAGGCAGGGTCAGAAATGTTTACACAGATCTTCTATATTGGTTAAACTAGTGTAACTGCAATGATTTGGTTACATGATAAGGTCAGTACTTTATTCCGAATCATGATTGCCCTGATCTGTGGGCCTCAAGAAATGGCCAGTCAGGAAATTTATGGAGCCTCTAAAATTCATTACCTGACTCCTCATTGTTAATAACAACTATTGCCAAAGCAGAAAAGCTCTCACCCTCCTTTCTGCCCCTCCTTTTCTATGCTCTGACTACATCACTTTCGAAGTTAGTCAGTGAACTCAATTCTTGCTCTGGTCCTTCTTCATTTGTAACTCCCAGTAAAAGTCAGAGAGACTGGAGGACACTCATTGAAAGGTCTCGTATCCTCACCAGTCAAGGCCCAGACTGAGAAGAGCTGCAAGACTGACTTCCCACCACTGGGCAGCAGAGGCATTTCTCAAAACATTTCTCAATTTCATGGCTCCAGGCAAGTCTGGGCTACAGGAAGTTTTGCTCTCAAGAGAAACAAATCAATTGCACTTGAGAAAAAAAGGAATGATTTTTTTTTTTTTTCTTTTCGAGGCTTCTTTGTGTAACAGCTCTAGCTGCTCTGGAACTATCACTTGTAGACCAGGCTGGCTTTGAACTCACAGAAATCCATTTGCCTCTGCCTCCCGAGTGCTGGAATTAGAGGATTCACCACCACCTCCCAGATGGAATGAAATTCCTTATTTTTTTGTTTGTTTGTTTTTCAAGACATGGTTTCGCTGTAGCTTTGGAGCCTGCCCTGAAACTTGCTCTATAGACCAGGCTGGCCTTGAACACAGAGAGATCCACCTGTCTCTGCCTCAGTGCTATAATTAAAGTCATGCACCACCACCTGTCTTGTAATGAAATTCTTAATGACCAGGAAACGATGGAGAACAGAAACAAATAAATAAAGAACATTAATGAAACCAGTAAGTGACTTTTTATAATTGTAAAAATCATGTATTTTTTAGATTAAAATCCTTAGCTATGTTGACTTTGTAGAAGAGTAGGCCCTTCCCTAGTAGAGAGAAAGACATTAATAAGAGACGGATTGATCTTCCCTATAGGCACATTGGCTGCTGAGGTCTGTAACTTGACACACTGAGTTACAATGGCCTGTTTCTCAAACTTCGAAGATGACTTAAATGTGTCAAGCATGACTGAGTATATCTACACAGGAGAATTCAATACTCATTGACTCAAGATAACTTTCTCAAATTGTACAACCACCAATGTGGTCTATGTTCATTCACATGGCATGAAATAACGCATACTGGGAAATTATAAATTCCCTCTGCCACAATTAGGTCCTTTTTCATAGTGGTGATTCCAGGATTTGACTGCCTGTCCTGTTTCCCCTGCAGTGTACACAATAAACTGTTCTTCCTATTCTGGTCTGGAGGCAGATGCTATGCTCACATGCCAATCCTTTTCCTCTAACTGCAATGGACAGTCAGCTACAGGACTCAAATGGATAATTTTTAAACTCTGAGGTGGTATGGGCATTTAGTTCAAGAATTGTGGAGGTGTCAAAAAAAGAATTATTGAGGTGGAATATAGAGAACAACAAGGTCGTTACCCCAGGAGTGCAAGAGTCGGAGATCAAGGCCACCTGAGGCAACAGAGGAGAGCTTGTCTCAGAAACACTTTTCTAAAAGGCTGGAAATGCAGCTGTCCTAGAATTAATATGCCTTTCCAGGGAGAAAAAACCTCCACATATTTAGGCAATTAATAAAGGAAAATCTCTTTATTAAGAGCAAGCATCTATCTCTGGCTAATGCTCATAGAAGAGCCAGCCTAGACATATTTTTCATTCAACATATGCTGTCATCCTTACATTTCTGTTAGGGTCATGCTCCAGGTTACACTGTGCACAATTTAAATAGAGACAGGAGACTGCATGTCTATACATTTAGGCAGATGGGAGACTTACACTCAAAGAGATTCCCAGAATTGTTTCTGAAGTATACATACCAGTGATCTGATACAGCAGAACATTTTTCAGTGACTGAGTCCAGAGGTAAAGGTGCCAGGGAATGAGAAAGACAGGAAAAGTAGAAAGCAGACGAGATAAAAGCTGGCTGAAGTGGGGAGGTTTTTGCACAAGCTATGTCTTATACCACGTAATTTCTTTTTGTTGTTGTTTTGTTTTTTGTATTTTTTTTTTGTCTTTGTTTTTCAAGACAGGGTTTCTCTGTAGCTTTGGAACCTGTTCTGGAACTACCTCTTGTAGACCAGGTTGACCTCAAACTCAGAGATCCGCTAGCCGCTGCCCCCCTAGGTAATGGGATTAAAGGTGTGTGCCACCACTGCCCAGCTGACAAGTAAATTCTTAAGAAGAATACTACTTGGGAAATGGAGGGAAATGGGAAAATTCCATGAAGCCAGCTGAATCTATGATACAATGGAATAAACTCAGGAGCAGGTTAATCAAATACTGTTGCACAAGGGGAATACAGGGTATCTCAAGAATATTACTACCGTGGCTTTGGAACTGATAACAATAGCTCCACATAGTGGAAAGAGTTGGGTTCTTGGGATCTGGAGCAACCAGTCCACAAAGGCCGTGGCCCCAGACCATTACCAGCTCTATATTCCTGGTTTTAGAGAAGGAGCTCTGCTTTATTCTCAGTGCATCAAGTCTTGAGGCAAACGTTGACGGCCTAGGCCCCAGGCTGTTACTAGCTCTCCAAAGAATGTGCTTGCTCCCTGCCTTGCTAAATGAAAGCCTTGCTTGACCAAGTCAGTTCATAACACAACAATATTTTACTTTTCACATAGTTGTCCCCTGGTGTCACACTGCCCATCTCTCAGAACTAGAGTATTTCTCAATAGAAAACTGGAACTTTACGGCAGACCAGGCCTTAAGGAGGTTGTGACCTTCTTGAGCAGCAAGGGAGAGGCCTGTTTTTTGATATACAGTGGCTGCTTCTAAATAAGGGGTATGTCCTTTGTAACAGTTTGGAGCCAAATGCCTGGACAATCCTGGTTTAAAAAAAAAAAAAAATGTGTATCCTAACACTTTTATCTCTACCAGGCCTCATTCGCTTATACTTATCTTTGGAGTGTTTCAGAAGCAGCCCTGCCTTATCTATATTCTTCTTTGTGAGACTTACTTTCTACTAAACCTTAATTAACTTTTATAATAACCAATTCTACCCTTCGACATCACAGCTAAGTAGTGGAGTGCTACCCAACGCAAGAAATGACTTTTACAACCTCCATAAAATTAACTGTGAATGGATCTTACATGAAATGTTATTGCAAAGTGCTGAACGTCTAAGCAGATACTGGAGAAACTCCATCTGTTCAAGGTTGACAACCTAAAGCATTGTTGTTGACTCCAAATGTTTCTACACACAGCTCTCTGCTCCCAATATCTGCACAGATGTAGCCCACAGAGAAGTTAGGCAGAGCCCTGTGCCTGGGTCCAGGAAGTTGCTCGGATTGCTAGGGGACTCACGGGACAGGGACTCTGCAGATCCCCACCCGGGCCCTGGTAGGACCCGCCACACAGGCTCTCGAAACTCCTCATCCGCTCTTCCCCATAGGAGGACAGCAGCTCCTCACTCACCATGTCGTGGCTTCCCAGCTCACCCATAGCCCCTTCACAGCTCCCTGCAGCAGCACAGCAAGCGGAAAAGAAACGGCGGCAGCTCTTCCGCAAAGCCAAGCCGGCCGCTGGGCTCCCGGAAGGGCCCTGCACCGGTTCTGACTGGCAGTTTTTACTGGAGGTCCTGATTGGCTAATAAGGCGTGAGTGACAAGAGCACCTCCCTTAAGGTTACAGTGCGTTTAAAGACACAGCACAAGGGTTTCTGACGCCCACCTTCTACTGAGGAGGGAGACCTACTTCAGGACTGTAGAGATGTGCATTTTAATAGCGTTTGCCCCTGGCTTGACTTGAAGACTGTGCTGTATTCCTGCCTTCTATAAGAACTTCCCATTTTTTCCTCCTGAACATCTAGTGACTAGCTCGCAGAGTCCTTTACTCATTGAGGAGTGTTGTGATTCCCTGACCCACGGGTGGAAGGGTGCCCAGAAACAATTTTATATTATATTATATTATATTATATCATATTATATTATTTATTAACAATTTTAAAGAGAGATTTAAGAACACAAAAGAAGAGGTTTGGTCTGTATCTTTTCAATGGAATGTACTTTACACTGAATGTATTTACTTGCTAGTCACAAGCACTTACGGGAACCAGGACAGAAATGCAGGAAGCATATAAAATAATGATAATGATGATGATGATGATGATGATAAATCTCCCTTGCACCAGAAGCCAGGATGATGAAAGAAAAATTGCTTTCTTCTAGAGTTCAAGGAAAACTCTTGACAAATGAGTAATAATAAACAGAGTAATCTTCATAGTAAGTTGAATATTTAGAGAATATTGAACCTAGGAAGAATGTCTTTATGAGCACTACTGTGTGCCAGGACATCTTCCTCAGACAGAAAAAAAAAAATGGCTGCATTACTCATGGTTCTCGACATGAGCAGGGCTGGTAAGAATCAATCTCTTCATATATGTGAATTGATTAGAAAGATTCACAAGTTGTAGTCCACCTAACCCAACAATTGCTGTCTACCAATGGAGATGTTAAGAATCAGTAGTTGTTCAAACCATGAGGCTGGTTGTCTCAGCTGGTTTTCTGAACCTCTGGCAGGTTCATTTTTTACCACGAGCTCTTTCTTTAAAATCAAGTAAATGACACCGTGAAAGAATACTGCTTTGTAGCCTATACCACATATTTTTTTTTTTTTTGGTTTTTCGAGACAGGGTTTCTCTGTGGTTTTGGAGTCTGTCCTGGAACTAGCTCTTGTAGACCAGGCTGGTCTCGAACTCACAGAGATCCGCCTGCCTCTGCCTCCCGAGTGCTGGGATTAAAGGCGTGCGCCACCACCGCCCGGCCCTATACCACATATTAACCTTGATATTTGATCTAAATGATAGCTGTGCCAATGGCACAATTCTCACAGATAAAAAAGACAGACCATAACTACAGAAAGCAGCAAAGGAAAAGGCACCTAACAGCACTGTATACTCTACTCTTACAAGAAGGGTTATGATGAGCTCCATTAACATAAGGAAAAAGCTGTTTTTTTCTCTCACTAACCTAGGAAGGAGGCTACATCTTCTTCCATGCAATACCAGAAGGAGCTCATTTTAACTACCCATGGCTGCTGTTTGTCTCTGGCCTGTGAAATCACTGTATAAAATTCTGTTCTTTCCTTTTTCACTTTTTTTTCTAATTGTTATGTGGGTGTTTTGCCTGAACAGTACTGACTGAGGCCAAAAGAAGGCAAGAGATGCCTGGATTAAAGTTACAACAAATGATTATCTATCATGGTGGTTCTGGGAATGGAACCTGGATACTCTGTAACAGTACCCAGTGAGCTTAACAGATGAACCATCTTCCTAGCTCCTCTTTTTTATTAATTTTCTATACATTTTAATTAAAACATATTACACCAATATCCCTTTTTTGTCTGTACTCTATTCTTTTCCACATGCTTCCATTCAAACTTCTTCCAAGCCAAGTGTGTATCAAAAAAAAAAAGTATGTTGAAATATATAAATACACCCTGTTGAGTCCATTTTTGTCATTTGTATGCTTATGGTGTAAGGGCTGACCATGTTGTGCTTAGGGAGCTCGTCCCAGCCTGAGGATAATTCTCTCACCTAAAAGAGAATTCCACTTTTTAATCAGTTGTCTGACCCAAACTAGGCTGCTTTGTACAGGAAATACAACCAAGAAAAGAAAATTTGCATTGGAAAATACTTTAGCAGTTAAAAGTAATGAAGAATCTTCCACAACACCCAGCATCCCTTTCCAGTATGTAAAGAAGCTCACTACACTCTGCAACTCCAGTTCCAGAGGTTCTGACACCATCTCCTGGCCTCCATGCTTACCAGGCATGAGCGAGGTACAAAGACATGCAAACAGGAAAAAAAAAGCATGCACATTAAATAATGACTGAAATTAAATTTGAAAAGTAAAGCCACAACAACAAAAAAAATAACAAAAGATAAGTTGCACCACAAAACTTATGTTTAAAGCTGTGGTGGTGCATTTTTTAAATGTAGAACTACAGACACAGAGGCAGGAAGTTAACTGTGAGTTTAAAGGCATGAGCTACAGAGACAACATCAACCCACCAATAATTTATACCACAATGTTTAAAAAACAACAAAATTGAATAACAAACAACACAGGAGGTTCAGAACAATATCTCTTAAAGTTATTTTAGGTGTTAGGCCCTTTAAATTCTTCTCAGAAATGTATATATATGAGCATAGTAGCATAGTCAAGCCAAGCTTGCATAGCCTACATAGTGAGTATGATAATAAAACATATCTAAATAACCCAGAATAACACAGACACCCCATATGCATACACATATATTTGAATGTAATTTTGTTTTGTTGTTTGAGCCAGGACATTATTAGAAAGTTCCAGCTAGCTTGGAACTCATTGTGTATAGTTTAATGAATAGTATTCATATCGAACTTTTGAAACAAATTCTGGTAAATATTTTATTCTATATTATTGATTGGCTCATTATTCAAAGCATGACCACTTTCTATACAAGAGGGAGCTTGCAAACAATTGTCTTCATATTTTCTTGTATTTGAAGAGACTGAAAGTGGTGGAAATTTTACACTGCTTACATGCTTTTGGATTGTTTTCTTTCATTCAATCACTATGAAACCAATAACAATCTTTTCTTGATATCATTCTATTTTAGAAATATTTTAACTATTTTAATTTCACTATTAATTTATTATTAAAAATAAATTTGTAAATTGAGCTATTTGAATATGTTGTGTTAATACTAAGACTCCACTTATGGAAGCTGAAACATTGCCTACTAGAGTATAAATATATATACTAGCTACCAGTAAAACAGTGAATTTTTAGGAATGTTTTTCTAACTGATGCAGAGATCCACAGCCAAGCACTTAACTGAGCTTTCAGGAGTTTCATGGAGGAGAGTAAGAAAGGATTGTGCAAGCAAGGGGGAGTCAAGGTCATGAGAGTGGAGCCCAGAGAAAGCTGACCTGGGCTTTTGAGAGCTCAAGGATTCTGCACCAACAGCTAGGGAGCCTGAATAAGGACCGACCTACGACCTCTGCATGTGTGTGACTGCTGTGTAACTTGATGTGTTTGTGGTGCTCCTAGCAGTGGGATCAGTACCTGTCCCTGGTGCTTTAGCTCTCTTTTGGGAACCTATTGCCCATGCCGGGTTCCTTCTCCCAGCTTTGATGTAGGGGGAGGAGAATAATGGTTGGCTAACTTATTCTCTAATTCTTGTGAAATAAATAACATTAAATGAAAAATAGCTGCTCCTGACTGAAGACCAGCAGCTGTGAACATCCAGGGGGTTTGGAAGCGTACCGCGATCATCCAGGCCAGCCAAATTAGGCTCGTGTTGACAGGGTGCAGTCCACTGTAAAGATAGAACATGATAGAGGTCGTGAGAAAACAGGGTATAGCAGGAGAGGGCAGAGGGATGTAAGATGCACAAGGAAGGTTCCCTAAGGAAAAGAACATCAGCAACTCCTTTTCTGGCCAGGGAGGATGAGGAAGGGCTCTTTCTGACAGGAATTTTTTTTTCTTACAGTCTTCTCACTGATGGAATGTGTAACTGGGGTTTCCTGAAACATGTTAGCCTCAGTGAGAACCATGGAAATCATTTGTTGCAAGGCTCCCCGAGGGAGTTCTGCTCAAGCACTCATGGCTCTGAGCAGTAAACAAATAAAGATTTAATAGAGTACATTGCCTACTGGTCCCTCTCTTGTGAGCTCATTGTATCATCATTCCTGTTATCACAGCACAGCTCGACAAGGATGGCAGTGCTGATTAAGCTTGCCTCGGCATAATTGAGAAAATTCTCCTGGGGAGGGGGTGAGAAACCCCTTTTGATATTAAGAAATTGAGTTTCCTTCCAACAGTGTCGAGGAAATGGCAGATCACAGACTGTGGATCTAATCTGCAACAGAGGCCTTGATTTGGTTGATAGTGTTTCTGTGCTATTGACTGGATTGAAAAAAACAAACGACAGCAGACAAGTTTCAGAGAATCGTATATAAGAATGTAGCCTGAAATTAAGATACCCAGCACTACTTAATACATAGCCCTATATCTGTTCATTAGGAGGAAGAGATGGCTACACTTGAAAAAACCAAATAATTTAAGTAGATAAACATTTGTCAAGCATACTAAAAGTATAATAAAATGCAAATATACACAGAAGTCTGAAATATTTAATATGAAACAGGAGAGAAAAATAGCTTAGAAATCTCTGAGGCAACTCAGAGTTTATATCTCTTGACATACAGTGTCAAAGGTGTTTCATTTTAGTTATGTAATTTATGTCTTTGAAATGTATAAAGCAATGTCTTTTTTAGGCTTCAACATGCATTTATTACATAATGTCTAATTCTATTTTTGCTTATACACTTACCACTTGCATATCTAACAGGTCTGTTTATTTCCAGTCAATTACTGTCTGGTTTGTCATTATGCTTGATTTTATGTACTATTACAAGAATCATACCAAAATAGTCAATTGCATGATTTTTAACATCACAAAACAGTTCTCAAATAATGGGCTGTGCATTTTTCACCTGTTTGGTCTAGTAGTATCATTGCTGCCCTTCTAGAATAACTCCATTT